GTAGACCCCGGAGCCCCGCCCCCGTAGACCCCGGAGCCCCGCCCCTGTAGACCCGTGGAGGGCCTCTGACCCCTATCGTGACATCACCTCTCCAGGTTCGAGAGCCTCGAGCCAGAAATGAACAACCAGGCCTCGCGGGTGGCGGTGGTGAACCAGATCGCACGGCAGCTCATGCACAGCGGCCACCCGAGCGAGAAGGAGATCAAAGCCCAGCAGGACAAGCTCAACACCAGGTGAGCCCCGGGCGGGGAGCGGTCGGTGGAAGATGGGGAGTGGGGCGGCCGGCGGAGGACCGGGAGCCACCCACACTTTGCCAGACGCCCACACGGCCTGGCCTAGGAGAATGAGTGGGGCCGACAGATGCCACATGTCCCCTCGAGGGGCTGAGGAAGGTGAGTGGAGCAGCAGTGTGCCAGGCGTCCCCACGGGCCGTGTCCAGGAATGAACAGGGCCTGCAGTGTGCCAGGCGTCCCCACGGACTGTGTCCAGGGATGAGCAGGGCCTGCAGTGTGCCACGTGTCCCCATAGGTAGGCCCAGCTCGATGAGGTCACTCTCTGAGCCTCGCAGTCAGGAATTTCCTGGACAGGGTCACTGGCTCCATGGGGCTGATGTCATTGCACTGACACCTGCCTTTGGACATCTGGCTCTCTGAGTCACTTCTCTCGCGGGCAGGAGGATGTTGCTGCTGAGGGCCGGGTGTGTGGGTGTGGTGGACAGTGTCGGGACACCACCTGTGTGTCCCTTGTAAAAACTTCTGAAGGAGATTCTAGTACGTGTGAGGTGTCACCGGTCAATTTCAGATCCACTTATACAAAAGGTAGATCTTGGCGCCGCACTCTCTTTCTGTTAAGTTAAACGCTCTGAAGGAAATGAGCTGAGCCGGCTGTTACCGTCTGCCTTGGGGATCCATGCCTGCTTTTCAGAGATGAGAAAAAGGTGCACACAGACCTGAATAAACTGTCCCTTCATGGGACACATCCTTTTGACTTGTCTTCCACAGGTCCCCTCCACGTCAGGCTTTTCCCAGGTTCTGTCGTGACCCGAGGAGTTTGTAGAACACCTGGTGCCCGCATGTCTCATAAGAGCATTTGTTCACCAGAAAGCACGTAGCTTTCGCCTCTCACAGTGCCCTCCCGCCGTCCCCGTCCACAGGTGGAGTCAGTTCCGAGAGCTGGTTGACCGGAAGAAGGACGCGCTGCTCTCGGCCCTTAGCATCCAGAACTACCACCTCGAGTGCAACGAGACCAAATCCTGGATCCGCGAGAAGACCAAGGTGATCGAGTCCACCCAGGACCTGGGCAATGACCTGGCCGGTGTGATGGCCCTGCAGCGCAAGCTGACCGGCATGGAGCGCGACCTGGTGGCCATCGAGGCCAAGCTGAGCGACCTGCAGAAGGAGGCGGAGAAGCTGGAGTCGGAGCACCCGGACCAGGCGCAGGCCATCTTGTCCCGGCTGGCCGAGATCAGCGACGTGTGGGAGGAGATGAAGACCACCCTCAAGAACCGCGAGGCCTCCCTGGGAGAGGCCAGCAAGCTGCAGCAGTTCCTGCGGGACCTGGACGACTTCCAGTCCTGGCTGTCTAGGACCCAGACGGCCATCGCCTCGGAGGACATGCCCAACACGCTGGCCGAGGCGGAGAAGCTGCTGACGCAGCACGAGAACATCAAGAACGAGATCGACAACTACGAGGAGGACTACCAGAAGATGAGGGACATGGGCGAGATGGTCACCCAGGGCCAGACCGACGCGCAGTACATGTTCCTGCGGCAGCGGCTGCAGGCGCTGGACACCGGCTGGAACGAGCTGCACAAGATGTGGGAGAACCGGCAGAACCTGCTGTCGCAGTCGCACGCCTACCAGCTGTTCCTCAGGGACACGAAGCAGGCCGAGGCGTTCCTCAACAACCAGGTAACGCTCCTCTTGGCCTCCCCTCGCTCCCTTCGGAGCGGCCACGGGCGCCCTGTGAGACCCTTCCATGGAAGCCGGGTACTTTATCTGTACGCGAGTCCCTGGATGACGGAGAGACAGGTTTCCCTGGCTCCCACGGTCTTACCGCCCACCCCAGTGACGAGGGCAGGGATTGAGAGCCACGGTCCTGCCTTGGCACTGCCCAGTGGTACAGGTGGTTAGTACGTGCTGCTGGTAACCTGCAGGGCGAAGGGTTAAGTCCACTCACAGACACACATCAGAGGAAAGGCCTCGAGACCCATTTACAGGAAGTTAACCACCGATAATCCTGTGGAACTCTGCTCCGTGCGTGGCTGCGAGTCACCTTCACTCGGCAGCACCCGGTAACAGCTGCTGGCACGGTGGTTAAAGAGCTCCGTTGCTGAACAGGTTGACTGTTCGAACCCACCATCCACTCCACAGAACAAAGATGAGGCCAGCTGTTTCCGCAGATTCCAAAGATTCACAGCTTTGCAAACTTTACAGGCAGCTCTGCCCTTTGGGGTCACTGTGACTCAGGATCAGGTAGATGGCAGTGGTTTGGGGGATTTTGGATTGCGGCTGGCTCCTTGCAGTGGGAGTTTGCATCTTTTAAGCATTCACTGTGTGGTCATAGAACAGCCTCATGGTATCTCAGTCATTGGTAACACTCCTGAAGTAGGCATTTATCAGCCAGCGTGGAAGTTAGAGTGAGGATTGTTTTAAAAAAATAAAACCAAACAACTTTGTCTTTCTTGGTCTGGAAGACAATGGTACAAGGAAGGGAGCAGACAGGAAAACAGCTGAGGGTTGTCCCAAGCATTGAGACCATTGGTCTTTCTCACCAGAGAGCGTGGGGATCAGCTTGAGGCTGATGTGAAGGCTGGGGTCACACGGCGTGCACACTTTGGGAAGAAGTTCAGAGTGTTTAACTAGGAAGGTTTAGTTACTGTGGGCCACTGGGGCTTTGGAGTTTTTTCCCGAGTGTTCCATTTACCTCCTGCAATAGAAGACTATCTGAGCATTATGAAGCAAGTGTTGTCAAGTGTGGCTCATGGGGGAGTCCTGTCCTCTCACGTTTTGGAAATGAGATGCATACTAGCGTATATATACATATTTCTTCCTCCCCCTCAAACCAGGAGTATGTTTTGGCCCACACGGAGATGCCCACCACTCTGGAGGGAGCGGAAGCGGCCATCAAGAAGCAGGAGGACTTCATGACCACCATGGATGCCAATGAGGAGAAGATCAACGCTGTGGTGGACACCGGCCGGAGGCTGGTGAGCGACGGGAACATCAACTCGGACCGCATCCAGGAGAAGGTGGACTCGATCGATGACAGGTGCGGGATCTGAGGTGCTCGGGGGCCCTGCCGCCAGGGGACTCGCCACCTTCTCAGTTAGTGGCCTGAAGAACACTTCAGGTGTTATTTCTCAAGAGGTGAAATAGCACCTTGCACGTTTTAACAGCTGACATAGGAAATCATGGAGCAGCTCTCGGCTGCCGTAGAGTCACATCCCTGTGACAGGACACACACCACACATGTGTCCCCCAGACAGGACAAAGCCCAGTAAGCCAGGCTGGGGCTGCTTAAAGGTCACCGAGGAGCACTGATGCTGAGTGTGGTGGTAGGTGTGTCCGAGTCAGTGAGGCTGGCGCAGGAGAGGGTCACTGTGAGTTACAGGCGATTCAGTGGCCCTGCTTGCTTCAGGGCAGGTAGGTGTGCTGCCAGCCCAAAGGCGTGTGGTTCAAATCCCCAGATGTTCCAAAGGAGGAAGGTGGGCGGTCTCCTCACGTGATTTACAGCCTCTGAAAACCTGGTGGAGGGCCAGCTGCGGGTTGATTCCAACACCATGATACGTAACAGTGATGCATACAGAGCACCAGTGGTACAGTCTGCGGGGAGTTGCAATCTGACCAAAAATGCTCCTCCAGTCACTGGTTCGAATCCGAAGCCAGCTACTCTGAGGGGGGAAGATGGGGGGTTTACTCCCTGTCATTTACAGCCTCCGAAAACTGGTTGGAGGGTCAGCTGTGCACCAGTTGTAAGTTGATAGCAGTGAGCAAGAGCGCTGCGTAGCAGTTGACGCCCAGCGTGTTGGCCGATGGCCCTGAGGGTGGACACCTCCCCACCTGAGCGCTGGCTCTCGGCCTCCTGGTGGGGCCAGCTTTGCAGCCCGGAGATCTCCTGTCCTGCGCTCGTGGTAGCACCTTCAGTCAGTCTGGTGCAGAGGAGTGGGTCTGACCTGTCTTAGGAAGGTGGCTCCGGTGTCTTTCTCACCATGTCCTGTCAGGGCATTTCCCAGTGTGGGCTCTTGGTCACTCAGTGCCGTTGAGCATAAAATACCGAACGCAGGTAACCAGACTTAGGCTCTCACATCTGTGAGGCTGGAAGTTCAAATTCAGGGCGTTGCTGGGTAGCTGCTGTTCTCTGACCTTCACTCTCTGCCAGCAGGCTTTCGAGCTGAGCTTAGAGACATGTCCGCCGTGTGCGCCTCTTTCACACAGCATGCTCCCTCAGGGGTGGCTCTGGATCCGTTCTGTCCTTCTGTAATTCAGAATTGTGTCACTCCTGGGCCACCCCACACTAGAACTGAGTCATTAACATAGATTGAAGGGGCAACCCTGTACTTCATAACAGGGTCACATCCACAGATGCAGAGGACAGGACGCTGATACGTGTTATTAGGGGACACAGGCCACAGCAGTGCTCTTTTTTCTTTTCTGGAAGGTTCTTCTCCCAGCTGAAGGTCAGTGGTCTTCCTTTGGCCCTCACTGCTCACTCACTCTCTCTCCTCTTGTCAGTAAAGTAGGAAATTGGAGACAGGCCCAGGTGGAGTGAAGCTGGCACAGGCTGGTTCTGGTCTGTCCTGTGGGGTCCACCTGGCCCCTGTCACAGCTGACCTTTCCAGTTCTGGTCTGTCCTGTGGGGCCCTGTCACAGCTGACTTTTCCCGTTCTGATCTGTCCTGTGCAGTCGGTACTGGCGTGTCCTTTCCGGTTCTGGTTCGGTCCATTGTGAGGTTGGTGTCTCCGGCATCCAGACGCAGTGGAAAGAACTCTTGCCCACAGCATTGTTTTGTTCTCCCACGTTCAGGGTCTCCTGGGCACTGAGCTAGGCAGCTGACGGTACATCTGAGGTGGTGGTAGTGACTGGCCAGTCCCCTTGACTCCTAACAGCCTGTATCAGCAGGATAGGGCTGCTCCATTGGGTTTCTGCTTTCAGTGGCCGGTCAGTGCACCTGCCTCCCGAGGGGCCTCCTGTGGATTTGACCCGCCAGCCTGTCAGTATTCTGCCAGTGTACTGCTTGTACCTCCCAGGGACCCCTTATTTATATTCAAACCCAAAACCATCCCAACTGCCTTCGCATTGATTATAACCCATAGTGACTGTGCTGATGGCGTTAGGTGCCGTGGAGTCCAATACAGCTCCTAGCGACCCTGTGAACATCACATCTGAACCCTGACCTGGAGAGGACAGAATCTAGGTAATGCCCCTCGGCTTCCAAGGCTGGTGGCCTAGTGGCACGAAGCTGCACTGCAGTCCCTGAAAGGCACGTGGTTCGAGTCCACCCACCAGCTGCTCTGCGGGGAGAAGGTGGACCGTCTCCTCCCGTGTGATTAACTGCCTCTGAATACCCGCCGGAGGGTCAGCTGTGGGGCAGTTCTGACTCGATGGTGCACAACAACAACAACAAAAGCTTTATGGAAGCAAACGGCACCATCTCCCTGCCAGGAATACGTTGTGGGTTCGAACCACGGTCTTTCCTTAAGCAGTGAGCGAGGGCTGCCAGGTGTCTCTAGTCGCCAGTGAATGTGGCTGGCACCACTCGAGCGTTTTCCGAGCCTGCAGTTCCCTCAGCCCACTTAGCCGTGTCCACTCCTCCGAGCTCTCCACACCAGGCCCTTCCTCATTCCCTCCTCTACGTCTCCATCATTGGGACCAGCAGCCCTGAACCGTCAGCTGCCGTGAAGCTTTCCCTTCTTCACCGGCCCCTGTGACAAAGAGAGGTTCTTACAGCAGAAATCCGTTGTGCGTGCCTGAGACTGGATTGTGGGAGGAACCCATCCCCGGTCCCGTGGGGCTGTGTGTCTCTCAGCGAGTCTTCTCAGACCGCGTGTGGGGCTGTTCTTGTGTCCAGCATTTCCATGAACACGGAGAACGGGTTTCTCCGTGCAGCCCCCCAGCGTCTGAGTCTCCACCGTGGTACCTTTGTGAGGCTCCGTGGGAGGGAACCAGCTCTTTGAGTCCAGCCCTTACAGACCCTTTTGTCACTTATTCCATCTCAAGTTCTCGCACTCTTCAAAGTTTGCTTCATTCCCTTAAAATCCCCTAGAAATAGTCGTTGGAATTTGAAGGTGACTTAGAGAATTTTCTTAACATTTCTTCCCCACCTCCTATTTGAATGATCATGTTTTATGTGATTCGGGTGAACATTTGGAGAGCAAGTTAACTTTCTCTTCAACAGTTGTACCCGTTTTGTTTCGTGACGTGATTACGTTCCCCACAGTATCTCAGCTCTCTTCGTCCTTCTGTGTTCACGTTTACCAGGCACACGTCTAACTCTTGATCAAATGCATGTTCTAAAAAGTAAGGCCACGTTCACTCACAACCTTAAAATAATTCTTTTTTGTATGTGACAAGGGACAGTAATGAGATCACATGGCTTTGGCCACTACTAGTTTTTGTTGTTACCAAAGCAGTCTAAAATTTTTAGGTTAACATCACTCCCTTTTGTCCAAACTACTACAGCCCCATGATTTTTTTTTTCTTTCTAGTATGTGTCTTGGTGGTTTTGCGTTGCTCACTAGCTCTTCCATCTTTTACTCATGAAATAATTTATTAGGGAACTCTGGTAGCTAAAGGGTGAACAAAGCAAAACCACCAAGACGGTCACTGAGGAGTCCACTAAGAGTCCATTCTGAATCTGCAGCACTGAGCTGTTATTTTTGTGTAAGTTACCCTGTATAATAAATGTTAAAAAATTATATTACATAATCACTCCACAGAGTTGGAAGCATCCCATAGCAGACCCTCCAGTGGGTTTTCAGAGGCTGTAAATCACTCAGGAGGAGACGTCTTTCTCCCATGGATCAGTTGGTGGATTTGAACTCGGTGCTCTAGGCTTGGCAGTGCAACTTCTTACCTCTAGGCCTTTGTAATACATAGTTCCATTTTATCTTGATGATATAAGCATCTTAAGGTTCAGAAAGAACTTTTTTAAAACTTGAACATTTTCTTGAAGCTTTCTTTAAAAAAAAACATATTCAGAACAAGTCATTGTATTTAAACTTCTAAAAATATCACCGCCTGACTCTGTTTATTCCTTCTTCTGTACTCGTGAGGCCCCCGTGTACTAGCCAGTGCTCTTCTTATCCCATGACCGTGTTCTTCCCCATGCCCAGGTCAGGGATTGGCGTGAGAGACAGACATACACCCACACACACACCCCAGGCACACACATCAACAGGTTGCTTGGAAAACCAGCTGAAAGCCGGTTCTTTTGCTCCTGTGTGCTCCATTCCACTTCCCACCACACTCTCCACCTTGTTCTCAGTGTAGCACAGCTCACGCCGATGGCAATGGGACCATCTGAAAGCAGAAAAGCAGCCCTCTGTGTGACGTTTGTGGAGTGGTGGGAATGAGTGTGTTTGAGACAGCGATGCTGGCACAGGATAGAACGGTGTTTAGGGCTCTTGTACATAGGGTCACTATGAGTCACAAGCGACTCGACGGCACATAACAACAACTCCGTATTGCAGATGGAGAGCCAGAGTGGAGAGCTACACGTGTGTCCTGTCACTGGTGCCCCAGTGGAGTGAGCACCTCACATCCTTTCCCGTTCTCAAGTTCACCAGCTCTTCTCATTCAGTGTGTCCTGTTTTGATGCCCTTGAACTCCAGTTTACCTCATCTGTTAATGGGGTGGAGTGAGATTTCATCTCAGAGGTCCCAACATGACCATTCCCCAGGTTTTTATTTGTGAATGAAAGAGAGAGCGTGTGTATGTGTCTGTCTGTCTTTTCCCCAAGATCAGAATCTGTCGGCATTCATTAGAGTCAGTTATGTCTTGAAGCTGTCAGGGGTTCGTGATCAGACCCATGCAGTATCACTGTTAAGACTCAGGAGTGTATTTGCCAGTGTAAAAGCTAGGTTCACACTACGCTGTGGTCCTCCAAGTGTGCAGTAATGGTATTCTGGAAAGGTGTGACGTCTCGCATTACCAAAATGTGGCAGAGTGAATTGACGTGAACCCATGCTGTACACAATGTGATGTTCACGTTTGTGTTATGTGCCTTCAAATTACAATCAACTCATAGCTGGCCCACCAGCAGGTTTTCAGAGGCTATAAATCAAGGTGGAGAAGACTGCCTCTTTTTCCCCCCCATGGAGTGACTGGTGATTCAGACTTCATGCATTTTGGGTTGGCAGCACAACTCTCCACCCGTTAGGCCACCAGACTGCTCAACACAGAGCTGCTTCAAACCTTCAATCTGGAAATTCGTGACATCTGCAAAGTGCAGTAAAGCCAAACACCATATAAAACTAGATATACCTGCATAGACATTCCTTCAGCCAATTGGGAGTTCATGAGAGAATAAGTATCAAATATACTCCCAGTGCTCAATTTTCTGCACCGTGTTTGCCCATGTTTTTCTCTATAAATAAGCAGTAAGTCCGTATAGGTGCTTCACTGCTTCTGTGACTTGTTTGGCTTGTACTGGTGTTTTCTTCTCATACTAAAGCTTACTCACTGGGAGATCCTAAAATTTCTTACTTGACTCCCATAAATGAGAATTGTAAGCAAACTCTTTTCAGCATTGTATAAAAGTCCAGGGAAGAAATGATGTTGAAAATTGACATTTCAAGATTCTTCTAATTCATTTTTCCTTTCTTTTCTTTCTTTTTTTTTTTTAAATAAATTCACTTCCACAGACACAGGAAGAATCGTGAGGCTGCCAGTGAACTTCTGATGCGGCTGAAAGACAACCGGGATCTCCAGAAATTCCTGCAAGACTGCCAGGAGGTAGGCCGCCTGGGTCCCTCTATTTCCTGTGCCACCAGCGGCCAGTCGGTGTTTGCCTTGAGCTATAACATTAGGTCAGAAATGCCTATCTCTATTTGGATCTCAGGATGGTGAGGTACAGGATCTTATTACTTCCCCGTCCTGCATGTCACCACTTAAAATAATTAAATTGTTGCATAAAATACTATCTTCTAGAACAGTCATTATCCATTATAAAGGCCACTTGTCACGAGGCTAAATTGGAATTCCCTCTACATTTTCATTTAACCAACTTAAATTAATTAAAAGTACAAATGACTTTCCTTTTAATTTTCTAAGCATTCTATGGCTGCCTGTGACTGCTGGCTATTATATTAGACATTATAAAGTTTTAGTGCATAATAACTGTTTCAAAGCATCTTACATTTCTTGTATTAAATATTTAAAGTAGGGTATATTTATAGGCCTCTTGGTCATAGCACTGGTCTGTCCACTTGCTGCACAGAGTTAACTTGTGATTGCTGTGATGCTGAACACTGTGACACTGATGTGTCAAATATGATAATGGTCACCCATGGTGGACAGTGTTTGGTGGAGCTCCCCGATTAAAGCAAGCTGGGAAGCAGGAGGGGCACCCACTTCCGTAAATAGCTTGCCTCTGGAAACCCTATGAACTTGTAGAAATGATGAAAGTTATACAGGTGTTCAGGTCTTTCGTTCATTGAGTTGCTATGAGTTGCCTTCAACTTGATGGCACTTAACAACAACAACGAAGGTATATTTAAGGCATACAAGGAAAAGATCAAAGAGGAGGAACCTAAATCTAAAAAGATCTCAAAGGAAACTGGCTACCAGGGGAAAGAAACTTAAGAAATGTAGATAAACTGAGTCTCTCATCCGGTTGGGACTTTAAATAAGTACCTGATGTAGCAGAAGCCGTCATCCTGATTTCCCATACCGAGTTTTAACGTGGAGTTTTAGTCCACTGATTTTCAGACTCTTGCATGCTCCCCTGACGTGTGTGAACAACTTTCGAAGCAGGAGTTGGCAGAAAATCCTAGTTTCAGCGAGCCAGCAGGTGGGAAGTGTCGTGTGGATTTCCCAAGCACATCATGCCAGAGAACATGCAGAGGTGGACTGTCCACTCTAGTAGAACTAGCCCCCGAGAAAATGGTTGGATGGAGGGCCATCGGGGACACTGCAGAGACCCTGGTGTGGGGGCTTGAGGGCAGTGTCGATGGCTAAGACAATGACACATTGCAGAAACCCCGTGCACACAGATGTGGCTGCGTGGTTAAAGAAACACGGCTTGCTGCCCAGCATGTTAGAGCTTCTGTGGCAGGAGTCCTTCATGTTTATGAAAGTGCCGTCGTCTTCCTGTGAATCTTGTGATCCCTTCTAGCGGCCAGCCCTTGAGAAGGACAGGCCCTCGCTCTGCAGCGTCCACTCCCTCTGCTCTCCGGGAGGGATCCGTGTCTCTCTGGGGATTTACCTGGAGCCAGACAGGCTGAAGTCAGGAGCGCCTCCTTCTAAGTGACACCGAAGCCTCATCAACCCATCTGAATAGGGTACTCATGTAAAGAGGCGTCCGTGTCCTAGCGAGCTCCACCCAGGAGGGTAGAGTTGTGGTTTGTACCGCAGTGAATCCCAAGTAGCCATGAAGGGATGGATGAAGGGGAATCGAGAGAAGTTTGCAGGCGGGGTCCTTGATATTTCACCGGAGACGTCCTCACCGGCCCGTTTGAATTCATGCCATAGTACAGAGGTTTAATGCCCTGGATTCATGGTCAAGAGAATGAACAGACCAGGGTGAAGCCTGGACAAGCTTTGAGAAGAACAGCTGGAAGTGAGCGTGAAAGGAGTGGATAAGGTCGGTCAGTCAGTGGTCCAGTCAGCCCTCTCGTTCTCTCTGAAACTTCCATTCTTCTATTGTCCGCACACACGTACTCAAGGATTTAGAACTAAAAATGTGTGGACAAGTAGGTACAGTGCTAGCCCTGCCCCGTGGGGTCACAGGAAATGACCAGTCTTAGCCGACCTGTAGCTTTGTACTTTGATATCTTCCCTGTTAGTGTCCTTGGTTGGAAAGTATTCACTCTCTCGTCAAGCCCTAGTTCCCTGTGCATGTTACAGATGGGACGGGCTTAGTCCCATGGGATCCCCAAAAGGGCCAGGAAGCCTGTTCACTGGGGCTTTTATGTCACCAAGATGATTTGCAGGCCCCGCAGAGCCTGCTCACCGACAGTCTCCCACATTTGTCCTTTCTTCTTCCTGTTCTGCTTAATTCTCAATGACCCTCATCAAAAGTCAGTGTGGCATGGAGTCCCACGCAGTGTGTCCATACGGCCTCTGCTGGGTGACAGGATTTAAGCCGCTTTTGAGGTGCACTAAAACACTTGACCTAGAAATACACGCTGTTGTGTATTAATCAATATACGTATTGTTCTTATTTGTATAGTCGTGTCATTAACGTCTGCAGTGCATTCTGAGAGACGATATTAGTGGATTTGGATGTTGTGAACACCATGTTCTATCCAGGCAGTGCCCAGATTACAGGTGAAGAATCCACTTAGGAAAGGATTCCTAAAGCTCTTAAGCCTAATTTGTAAGCAACAGTTAAGTGCTCTTTTTTGTCTAGTGTCAGTTAATCACATGTTTGCCTTAGAAAGTGTATAACCTTCTATACATAAAGTCATTAAAGAAACCCTTCTAAATACACCAAAACCTCTTTACATAACTGTGCCCCATAATGATAATGTTTCAGTGTTCTTCACAAGGCAGTACCTGTTACTACAAACTGTTGTGTACACCTTGAATTTTTCTCATTAGAGGCTTTAAAGGGCCCTGGTCCATGGATAGATGTGGTTCAGTGAACATTTTGTATTGTGTGATTGTCTGTGTGTTATTCTTTAGCTGTAACTTTCAGTCTCAGAAAGATTAGAGTTGTTGTGCAGAACAGCTCTGCATTTGAGAATAATACACCCATTGCAGCAGTAGGTAACTTACAGAGTCCTCAAAGGTCAAGTTTAATACCATTATAGACTTTCAGAGCCCTGGGTGCTGTGAAGAGTGCTAACACAGTTGTTAATCAGAAGGTTGGCGGTTCAAGTCTACTCAGAGGCAGTGCGTGAGAAAAGACGGGTGGTCTCCTGCTGAAGCTATGCTTGACACGCAAGTGGTCACCACGGGTCAAAGCTAAACAGCTCCAGCACCAGTACTGACGTCCACTATTGTTCAAGAACCAGGGAGTCCAGGGCTTTGTCTGTCCGCTCCTTTTCTTAGGAGCAACTTGGCTCCAGACTTGGATTATGGCATTTGTCCTTGTGACACCCCTATCAGCACTGTCTGGAGGGGACAGCCGCCACAATAGCAAAGCAGTAAATAACCAGACATCGACCCGTTCCTGCTTATGGAGGCGGTACAAAGAACTTCATCATTTTTGTGTCATGGAAGTACAGCATCTTAATGAATCAGTGATTTAAAAAACCCCCACAGCATTTTGCTTTATTCTCTCTCACCACACCTCCTGCTCTCTGGTCCTTTCTCCTCCCAGGAGGGCAGGAGAGTTAGACATGTCCAGAATAGGGATGAAGAGTCCAGGACTGAGCCTGGAGCCCTGATTCTGACTCAGCATTCTCTGAAGCCTGCTGCACTCTGCACAGCCTTCTTTTCTGCAGAGAATGAGTGTATTCTTAAGTGACCTTTGCAAATGCCCACAAATAATAACTGAGCTTTGTTGCAGAATGCTGATGGCCCAGTCGAGTCCCACAGGTCCACTTCATTATGTGACTGCGCCTGATGCTTTATCTGTAGGGTGATGTGTTCAGCAAAGAGCAGATTTGTTTATGAGCCTCTGACTTTTCTTTTCCCCCCCTTCCTTTTTTTTTTTTTTTTAATTCCTCTTGAGTAGGTGGTTATGAATAGAGAATATATGTGAATGCCCTTGGCACTTTCGGAAACGCCTTGCATTGTTTTTTATCTCTGTATGTGAAGATAATACAGAAAAAGGGGTTTATCATTTCAGGTCTTTTTTGCCTTTGTCCCTCCCCCCCTAGATTGAAGAGCTCTCGTTTTTTCCAAGTTTCAGCTATTCAGATAATAGAAATAGAGAGATGTAATTCCTCTACTTCTGTGTCTGTGTGACTGATTGTATAGGAATTTTATATTATTTTTTCTTGTTGTTTGAGTGAGATTCCACAGAGCAACTTCGTCTCCCCTTCAATAGTTTGTCCACATTTTCTTCCATAACTTCAGTTTTAACCCCTTTGAGGTAAGAACATCCTATGTCTCCCTGATTCTCTGGTTCCGTGTGTCCACCTTGCTTTTCAAACATTTGATATCGTGGTTGATTGGGGTACATCCCTCAGCTGTACTTGTGCATGCACCTTATGGGCCTGTTGTTGGGGTCAGAGTTGGACTCTAGGAGTGGGTTCCGTTTCCGATTTGAAGGGTTCCTGGGGGCCATGGTCTCAGAGATTCTTTTTTTTTTTCCCTTGGCAAAGAAACCTGGACAACATTTATTAGACAAGGTAGGGAAAGTTCTCACTCAGCATTATAAAAAAGGACAGTCTGATATCAACTGTTACAGAAATAAGACGGAAAATTTTAACAAACTGTTTTAACAAACTATTTTCTTAAAGAGACTTCCTCCACTGCCAGAGATCTTGAATAGCCTCCTGGTCTGTCATCCGGAAGCAATTCTTCACATAATTGATGAATTTGGCTTCCACTTTGGGAAGAGAACCTCCTTTTTGTATACTTGCTTGCATTTTTGCTTTAACGTCTTCTACAGAACTAGGTCCTTTTGGAGTTTTGGGAGTTTTTTCCTGTTTTTTGAAAGATTCTTGTCCTTTTGATCGTGGAGTTGACGGTTTTGAGTCTTTTCCATTCTGGTTTGATTTTTGTGCATTTTTGGCTGGAGTAACCCTTATAGATTTCTTCCCTGGTGCTTTTTCTTCAGCCTCACCATCATCAAACTCATCATCTTCATCTTCATCATCGTCGTCATCATCATCGTCAACCTCTTCATCAGTGGCAAGTTTCACCTTTTTCTGTGGAATTTTGTTACCACCTGCAGGGGCAGATCTCTTTCCTGAAATACTTAAGAGTTTCACATACTCCTCCTCTTCTTCATCTGACTCTGCGTTTTCCTCCACAGCTACTGAGTGTTGTCCACTTATATGCACAGGCCCTGAGCCACACTTCAATCGTAAGACGACAGGTGGTGTTATTTCAAAGCCCCCAAGCGAAACCGTTGGCTGTACAGACTTTCAAAGTTGCCAGTGTTCCTTTAATTGGGCTGCCCTGATAATTCATTACCTCTGCTTCAACAATGTGCAAATTCATCCTTTGCACCAGCCCCCTAAACTGACTGTTCTTAAAGATAACTGGTGCTTATTCTCATCATTATCCACCTTAAAGTGATAATCTACGTCAGCTTTCAGTTCACAACCGAAAAGGTAGTTTTGAGGCCGCAGGGGGCTCATGTCCATATCCATCGAATCTTCCATTGGTTGGTGGCTCACGTTTAAGTGAGAGAGGACGGCAATAAATCAGCACTGTTGCACAGAACAGCCACGCAGGACGGAATCACAGCAGTGGTCTCAGAGATTCTAGGAGTCTCTTCACACCAGAATATCTGGTCCTTTATTAAGATTTTAATTTTTTTTATTATTATTTTTTTGTATGTACCATCAAATTGGATCTGACTGGTACAGGAGGAGATTGCCCCTCCTTCTCCAGCAGAGCATCTCGTGGATTAGAACTGCATACCCTCTGGGATTACAGTGCATTCTCTTGCCCCTAGGCCACCAGAGCTCCCTTGATGTTAAATTTTGTTCTACATTCTTCTTCCACTCTGCCCAGGACCTTCTGTGTTGAGCCTGCTCGGGTCAGTTGATACTGAGAGCCAGGCCCCTCCACTAGTTCTGGTCTCGGGCTGGGGAAGGCTGAGGTTTGTTAATGGTGGTCCACTAGTCCTTCAAACTAAACTCTTCTTCCTCCTCCTCCTCCTTACTGCTGTCGAGTCGAGCACAACTCTTAGCGACCCTATGAACAAAAGGCCTGAAGCCTTTGTATAACCATCATCATTTCTCTTAAGTTCATAGAGTTTCAAGAGGCATGTGGTCTAGGAAGTGGACACCACGCCTGCTTCCAACTTTGAGTCTTTGATTTTCTCTGTTTTCTGCCCCGAACAGGAAGAGACTCATACTTAAATCTTAGTTGCTTGCAGAATTCTTTTTGAATAGTAGGAAATGTTGTATTTCTTGGTGTGTCATATATTTAAGGATTTTTGCGTGCAGCAGGCTTTCTGAGTTTTGCTCGAGTTCAGTAAAGAGAAGGTCAGAGTTCTTCAGAGCTCTCTTTGTTTTTCAAGGTGCCTCCTTTCCCTCCATGTGGTGCATAGAAAGGTGGAGACAGACAGGTGACCAGAGTTCACTCTGTTCAGAACCAGGGTGCTGCCATGACCCCCGTTGCCTCTCTCTGACCTTGTTTTCAGAGAATAGCCTTTCTGTTGCAACAGATTTATGGGGATGCCCCTCCCAGCCCGGAACACTAGTGAATGGCCTTGAACCTGTCAGTTTTGGGAGGACTCACTGTTGGGTTTACACCACCTCTGAAGCTCAGGAGATGGTGCCATGACGGAGCCTGGGTTTTCATGTGTAGAGGCAGCAGCTGCTGTACAGCGTGGATTCTCATATTCATGCAGGAGGAGCGCTTTGTTTCCTGAAGACATTTGTTTCCGATGCTTGGCTCTGTGCGTCCACAGCTGGACACAAGGGCCACTCTGCCCAAGCCAGGATCGTGTGTGAAAAAGGAGTCAGTACTCTGTTGTGACCAGTCCCAAGCTGGCCGTACTGAGCAGGGACTGGGTCTGGAGAAGTGACCCCAGAGCCTGGGGTTTGGCTGGCTCCCACCCCTGAACCTCAGATAACCCCATCTTACCTGTAAGTGGCTGACAGGTTCCCTCATTTTTCTGAGCTCAGATCCATGAAGACATGCCGGGTCTCACCCTCAAGTCCAGTGAAGTGTTCTTGATCTGAGTGGAAGGTTCTTTAGAGCTTTAGGAAAAGAGGTGAAGGAATCTGAGACCACCATTGTTGTTTTAAGGCTGTTTATGTCTCTGGCCGTCCCCTAGATGGGCCTGTGACAGGAGGCTGAAGGAGCAGTCTCTCTGCCTCTTTTTCCCTTTGAAGAAAGAGCTGAAAGAAGTGGAAAGATTGCTTAGTGGAGTAAGAGACAGTCATGGCTCCCATGGTGGGGCTGACACAGGTATTTGGAAAGGTGGTTAGTTGCCTGGACTGTTGGGCCAGGATTTCAAACACAACCTTTGGAGGAAGCTGGTGAAGAGCACAGTGGTGTTTTGAAAGCTGGCACCTGCGCCTGTGTGGATTCCTGGGTTTCGTGGACTCTGAAGCCGAGTCCCGGTGCACCTGCCACAATGGGCCAGCACCCGAGCATCACGGTAGTCTGTTGGCATGGATGCCGGCTTTGTGCACCGTACAGCACAGACACGGGCGTTTTCTGGGCAGAAGGAAGTAGGTCTTGAGTCATAATCTCTGAAGCCTCCCTGACTTTTCTCCCCCCAGCTGTCTCTCTGGATCAATGAGAAGATGCTCACGGCCCAGGACATGTCTTACGATGAAGCCAGGAACCTGCACAGTAAGTGGCTGAAACACCAGGCGTTCATGGCTGAGCTCGCCTCCAACAAAGAATGGCTGGACAAAATTGAGAAGGTGAGACGCTTGCTCAGGGCTCCCGGCCGGTGGGGTGACCGTGGCGAGGGCGTGAGGATCGGGGACCCACACACCTTTGTCTTTCTTTCTTAATCTTATTGTGGTGAATTGTAATGTTTTCCACTTCAGCGACATTAATGAAATTCACAACGTTATGCAGTCATTTCTGTTTCATCATCAAAGCTTCATGACCTATTCAGTGTCATGAGGATGGCACAGGATAGGGTAAAGGTCAGATCTGTTGTTCTTAGGGTCACTAGGCATTGAACCCTGCTCATGTCCAGTCCGTTTTTGTCTTACGCATTTATCTATGCTATGTATCAGCCGTACCATTCAATGTTTCCAAGGTTCATCCATAGTTGTTACATGCCGTCGGGTCTGGACCGACTCCTAGCTGACCCTCCAGCAGGTTTTCAGAGCCTTGAAATCGCGTGAGAGGAGATTGCCCATCTTTGCCCTGCAGAGCTGCTGGTGGATTTGAACTGCCTACCCTTCGGCTGTCAGCCCAACTCCTTACCACTAGGCCACCAGAGCTTCCTTCATCCGTGTACCACATGTACCAGAATTTTTCCTTACGGCCCACTGACTCTGGTGACCTGGTGGACAGGGCATTGTGCTGACAACCCAAAGGCGGGTAGTTTGAATCCACCAGCTGCTTCAAGGGAGAAAGATGGGCAGTCTCTTCTGTGTCATTTACAGCCTCTGACAATTTGCGAGAGGTTTAGCTATGAGTCGGTTCCTCCTTGACGGCATCCAACAACTACATCTTATATTACATAAGAAAAATAAGCTGACATTGAAAAAACAGTCTCGTACACAAGTGTATGTGGCTAGACCATGTCGTTTATTTCTTGGCTTCTCTTTAATAATCATTGGCCACCATGATTCCCCAAACGGCACTTGGAGTTGAAAGAGTTGAGAATAAATTGTCTCTGGCATGGTATAACTTAGGATAAAATCATCTTAGTCTTATCATTTTATAAAGCTTGTTGCCACATTATTCACAATAGTCAAAATGTGCGAACAAACTATAAATCGGCCCCAACTCGACATCAGTGAGTTGGCCCAGGGCGATGTGTACAGCATGATGGAACTTGAGAAGGAGTTTCCCCTCTGCCTATCTCCCTTCACACGCTTTAAGTTTCAGACTCTGAACTGGGGAAGTACTGTTATGGGATTTTTCAGGGCAGGGGCTGTCGGAGAGGGTGAAGCCTTGAGTTAGGAGTGTGAAATGCCCCCTTGCTTCATAGCTGAAGTTCTGTGTGCCCAGACCTCACGACATGCACACAAGGCTCATGGAGTTATAAAGCCCTGCTGCTTCCTGGGGAAAGTCGTGTGTGTTTTGACTGAGGGGGTCACATTGGCAGAGAACTATCTCGGGCTGGTTTCCCTCGGCCATGTCCACCCTCTACCACGCTGAGTTTGCCTCTGATCACTCTGCTTTGTGGCTTCTAGGAAGGGATGCAGCTCATCTCCGAGAAGCCCGAGACGGAGGCCGTGGTCAAAGAGAAGCTCACCGGCCTGCACAAGATGTGGGAAGTCCTGGAGTCCACCACCCAGACCAAAGCCCAGCGGCTCTTTGACGCCAACAAGGCCGAGCTCTTCACCCAGAGCTGTGCGGATCTGGACAAGTGGCTGCTGGGCCTGGAGAGCCAGATTCAGTCCGATGATTATGGCAAAGACCTCACCAGCGTCAACATCCTGCTGAAGAAGCAGCAGGCAAGTGGGCCAGCCCCGTGCGTCCCCGGCCAGGTTCTTTCCTGGTCACTTCTCCCTGGTGTACCCTCACGCTGCGTCCGCGGGCACCTGCCTGCTATGAGTGAGGCCTTTAGTCCTGGTGTGCCCTCACGCTGCGTCTGCAGGCACCTGCCTAGGCCGTTAGCTCTGGTGTGCCCTCACACTGCGTCCGCGGGCACCTGCCTGGTACAAGCAGGGGCTCTAGCCCTGGCGGCATCGGGAGGTCATCCCAGAGCCAACCGCACAGACTCTTAACTGTAGTGGTCATACCAGAGGACCGTCCTTGGGGGTGATTTCTTCCTGGTTGATCAGTATTATCCCTGCTGGATATGCTTCTCTCTTCAAGTTGCATTTTGCGTGAAGGAAACTAACTTCTCTTGTTTGCATAGCTTGCTGTTCAACGTCTAGCTATATGAGAGTTATCAGAGTTGTTCAAGGTACTTGACAGACAGTAGAAGAAATCTAATAGTTTATTCATTTATGTAAGTCACCTTACAAGAAAGCAGGTCCAGTGAGGTGGAGAAAGCCAGTCAGTGGCTGGGTCCGAGCCCCACCGTCCTGGAGCCGGTCACTACATAAGCCAGTCAGGGGGCAGGTCCCAGCCCCACCGTCCTGGGTGGCCCAGTCACTGCGGAAGCCCAGCTTTGCCGAGTCCCACAGCTTTATTCTGCGTGGTAAAATCCACCCTTCCTTGGCATGACGGTGTGGTTTCCCTGCTCTTCACGTTATTAAGCAGAAAGCTGTTTCCCCCCCACAAGACACAGCTGCCTTCCCTTCCTACGTATAAAGGAGCCACTTAGGTCACAGGTTCTAAGCCTCTTGTCTGCAGCTGACAGTGTGGTCCCTGGGTGGTGTTTCCCGGATGGGGCACCTCTGCTTCCACTGTTGTTGTTTTCTTCATGTAAATAAGTAGTTTGTGTGATATTAGCGGCTTATATCCTACATGCAGAAAGAGTGTTTCTGCTTTCTGGCTGAACCCACGGGAGCTCTGGGGGCCTGTGGGTACAGAGTTGCACCGGCAGCCCAAAGGCAGGCTTTTCGAACCCAGCAGCTGCTCCTGGGGGCACAGTGAACAGTCTCTTCCCACGCAGTTTATCGCCTCTGAAAACCCGCGGGAGGGTCTGCCGTGAGTCGGATGTAACTCTGGTCAAGTCGCGGAGCCTGGCTGCCCTTTCTCACCTGTGAGATCTAAAACCTCGTTGGGTCCTGTGATGAACAGGACCCAGCTTTCGCACGGCTCCTCGACAGACCACAGATGCTTGCCATTCTCCCAGAATCCGTTCTTGTTTTCTCTTACCGTTCCTTCCCCAGCCCCCAGATAAGCTTGGCTCTTACTCTAAGTTTAAAAATCCCTGGGACAAGATTATAAAAATAAAGTCAACCGTTGAAGTGGGGATTGAACGGCAGCGTGGTAGATCCTAGAGCCGTTTCTGGGCTCTGCACAGAGCACATGTCTGTTCCTCAGCCTTCCCCTTGGCCAGCCCTGAGAGCAGGCATTTCCCGGGGCCTCTGTGCTGTGCGTGGGGTGAGCGTGGGTCCGTCTCCCGCCCGCAGATGCTGGAGAACCAGATGGAAGTGCGGAAGAAGGAGATCGAGGAGCTGCAGAGCCAGGCGCAGGCCCTGAGCCAGGAGGGCAAGAGCACGGACGAGGTGGACAGCAAACGTCTCACGGTGCAGACCAAGTTCATGGAGCTGCTGGAGCCCTTGAACGAAAGGAAGCACAACCTGCTGGCCTCCAAGGAGATCCACCAGTTCAACCGGGACGTGGAGGACGAGATTGTGAGTGTCCGGGGCCCAGGGCCTGCTGAGCCGTCACAGCCCAAGCTGCATGGAGGCCACTCTTTGGTCCCTCGGTGGTGAAGCCATTGCCATGCTTGGCTGCTGACCAGAGGGTCATAGGTTTGCGTCCAGCCCGAGAAACCACAGATAAAAGGCCTGATAATCTACCTCCCATAAAACTTCACCCTTGAAGACCCCATGGAGCACACTTCTCTGACCTGCTGAGAACGGGGGTCCCAGGAGTTGAGATCAACTCTTAACTGGTTTCCTTATTCTCTTAAAATGCAAGACTGTGGTCCTTGTGGGTTTTCCAGAGACGTGGTGGGATTTTAGGGGGACGCTCTCGTGGTAAAGTCCATAGGGAGCTGTGCTTCTAAGCCAGTGGTTCAGACCCACCAGCAGCTCCGCAGGAGAGGGATAGAGGGCCTCCCATGTCGCCTGCAGCCTCCGAAATCCAAGGGAGGGTCAGCTGTGAATGCAGCTCCGCTGAAGTGAATGTAGAGCTTTAAGACACCCCCTCCCCAGGCGTGGTGCTAAACCAAGCAGGGAATGAAGAGTCCTGAAGAGCGGAGCTTAGGAGGGAAGTGGGGCTGGAGAGACCAACCCCAGCTCCGTATCTGAGAGAGGGACATGTCCTGGGGCGACCCTCGTTGGTGGCCGCCACACCATCGTGACCAGCCTCTGCCGCCCCTACCCCCTGTCCCTGCCCCGTGATTGAGTCTGCTGTCTCAGGACTCACCTCCTGTGCACCGTTCTTTCCAGCTATGGGTTGGAGAGAGGATGCCTTTGGCCACTTCCACGGATCACGGTCACAACCTCCAGACTGTCCAGCTGTTAATAAAGAAGAACCAGGTGAGTGTGTGCCCTCGTGGGCCGGCGGCACGTGAATAGTCGCTGCTGTCAGGAGGCTGGAGCACTTTGAAGGCCGGAGGTCACTTCTGGCCCTCGTGGTGGTCACAGTGTGATAACCTCCCGCGTGTCCCCGCTCCGCAGACCCTCCAGAAGGAGATCCAGGGCCACCAGCCCCGCATCGACGACATCTTCGAGAGGAGCCAGAGCATCGTGGGCGACAGCAGCAGCCTCAGCGCCGAGGCCATCAGGCAGAGGCTGGCTGACCTGAAGCAGCTCTGGGGTCAGCTCATTGAGGAGACGGAGAAGCGCCACCGGCGGCTGGAGGAGTCGCACAAGGCCCAGCAGTACTACTTCGACGCGGCCGAGGCCGAGGCCTGGATGAGCGAACAGGAGCTGTACATGATGTCT